CAGGGTGGAAGGATGCCTTTGCAGTTAAGAATGCTAAATCTGGAATCTTTTTAATACAATGAAATCCTAATTTCATCTTGCTTTTATCTTGTAAAGTTTTTCAAATAAATCTATTGTTGTATGTGGCAGTCTCAGGTAATACTGATGAGCATCTGTAAAAATTCCATGAGTAAAATATTGCATAGGGAAAGAGATCTTAAATGTCTGTTGATAATTAGTAATATACCATATGTTGAAACTTTTGGTCATAATTTTTTTTTGTCTGATGTTGGTAACTGGTGTTGAAACAGCTGCTCTATGTGGCTAGAAATGAATTAGTGTATTGCTCAGATCTGTGATGCATTTTTTCTTGCAAATAGAAAATTAATGCTGTTGAATTTGCAATCTGCTATTATTTATAATTTAAATACAGCATATACGTATGTTAAGCTGTGCTTCTAGACTCTCCAGAAACCTGAATTTAAAAAAAAAAACAACAACAAACCACCACAAAAAAACCAACCCTGGTCTAGCAAGGTCAATTTGAAGTTCATGCATCAGCAGCATTTGCTGTTAGTATTCTACATTTCAAATTTAATGTAAGACAGTATAAATGGGTGTTCCTTCTAAATCACTTCTAACTATGAGAGCCTAGACTGTTGTTTTATGGGGATGAGTTATGTGAATTATGGTGAGCTTTATGAGTCACTGTACCCCAAACAACTGGGCCTGAGAAAGAAGAGATACCGTGACCTCAGCCCCCTATACACATGTGCTTTCTTGTTATTTTTTCACTAAACAGGTGTTTAGCTCCTATGAAAGAAGAACTAGTTTCCTTACCCCCTTTATAGCTTTACAGACAAGTTCCTTAAACATTTTCACTGAAGATTTTATTTTGTTGTCCCATCTAGAAGATTTCAGAATTTACAGTAGATAATCCAACTGAAAGAGGCCCCAAATCTTTATCAGCTTCCTGCTAATCTGGAAATGCTCCAGGCTAGCAAATGCCAAAGCCTACCTGTTCTTTGGTTTGTTTTTTTTTTCATTAGTAATGTTTAGTAATAATCTTTAAATAGCATAGTGATGACCTAATTTCAGTCTTTCAGGAAGAGTTTTCAGCATTTTATCTCTAATTGTTGCAGCTACTCATTTAGCCATCCAATCTGTAAGAGTTGAATACACTGGAGAAAACCATAGTCTTCTTCACCTGATCACGATTACCATTAGATTTGCTGATTTATTTTTTTTTTCATCTTTCCAGTACAATTTCAGTGAAAGTAATCTTTGGTCTCTTTTTAATGTACAGAAGAAGAAAGCAAATTTTCACAACCACATCTAGCTTGTGGTCCTGAAAATGGAGCTGTGCAACTCACCTTCTTGTTTAATATTTTGTGTGGAAAAGTGAATAAAGAATTACTGTTTAATTGGCTCGCAAACTTTCACTAATATGACATTCTGTGATACAGTGGATGCCTCTTCCAGTGAGTATTGTTCTGAATGGCAGCCACTTAGCTGTCAAAATTTTGGCAGCAGCTCTATAAAATCCTGCAAAATAGAATAGCTGTAGGAAGGAAGGCTGCAGTGTGAAGGAACAGGATCTTGTGCATTAAAGAAACTACCTCTCAGCTAATGCGAAGGAGAATGAAACCACTAACATCATAAAAGAATTTGCCATTTGTAGCATACTAATATATAGCAGAATTTTAAGGTGTCATGACCATAAAACCATCCTTTCCTCCTGCTGTCCAGTAATTTAGCACAGTCTGGGAGACAGAGATGTGATCTCTACTTTCATTGGCAAAAGCAACTGACGAGTAGTAACTGTCCCTCTCATGCTTTGCTGTGAAAAGCAAGATAAAAATCTATTGCACATAAAAGCTGTTTGTTTGTTTTGTTATGTTTTTTTTTCAGTAGGATCAATACATTTTAAAAGCATCCAAGAATGTAGCAGGAATCTCATTTACTTTAAAGCAGGATGCCCCCAAATATATTACAGCTGAAATTCATCTGAAAATTTTCCTGGTATTTGACAGCAGACTAAATAGGAAAAGATTTGAAAGAGGATCTGGAAAGGCTAGCGCTCTGGCAAATATTAGAATGAGTGATTTTTTTCATAGCATGCAAAATACGAAGTCTATTCATTTTGTACTTTTTTTTCAAAGATTAGAGATGTTAAAGAAATTGCAAGAGTAATGCTTCTGAATTATGTTCACTTCTCAATGCATCTTTTAAGGTGCGTGAGTGTACTTTATTTCTTTGTGGAGTGTTTAGTTTCCATATTTTCTTACTGAAGAAAAAGATATAAAATATCAGCTGAGTTAGTTAGGACAGTTCCTTGCTTAGTGACTAGAGCTACTTTAGAGGCAAGCTGGCTATAATTAGAGATCGGGCTGTTGGTGCCTTCCCACAGCATCCGTCAAGTTATAGTTGCAGTTATTAAAAAACATATAAAAAATTATTTACCTTGGCTTATTTTTATTTATTTATTGTTGCCCCACCTTTTACCAGTTGCTCACAGTGTTAATTTATTCTGTCAATCATAAGGAATTTTCAGGTAATTTTTTGGGTGTTTTTTGATTGAACCACAGTAGATATTCCAGAGCTTTATGGGGTCTTCAGAAGCCCTGACCCTGGCAGCATGTTACCGTGAGGCAAGCCGCTGTAGAAGATGGACTGGCTTGCTGTGCTGCTGCTTTTTTTGCTCCAGAGACACACACTTTATCAGCCGAGCTTCCTGAAGAGCTGATGGTGGTGGGCCCAGGTACAGTCCAGATACAATGCGAGCCATAGTGTTCCAGACTTGCTCCCTCTCCAAGGCAGCTAGAAACAGTTCTGATGATGTCTACTAGAGACATATATCGTAGGTTTGAAAATACATAATTTTAGTACAAAATACATTGTTTATCAGTGCAACTAACAAATGTTTATTTTGCCACATTTCATGAATTTATGGTAACTTGTGTTTTACTAAATTATACCATTAATTTTGGAAACTCCTGCATGAGTGAATCTTTCAAAGAATTAATGTTGGTAGGTTTTGTTCTTTTTTCAAATATTCTAGTCTTTTTTCTTAGCAAGTGACAGAGCTGTAGAAGGTGTTATCAATAGAAGCTGAGCAGTGGTTCACAGTGAGCAAAGTACAATCTGTTAAGTGTTGCTGTCTTATTTTGCTGTGTTTATAAGTGATTTGAACTGTGAGGAAGTAAGAAGCTTAGTTCTGCCAGGAAAAGAAAAAAAAGCCTAAGAGGTTGAGAATGTTTTCTTACTTGCTTCCCTCAAGAAAGCTTTGATTATGAGGGAGTCTAAAAATACTGAGGTAACCCACAGACTGCAAAATGCATTTGGTTCGTGGCCAAGTGCCTACGTCCACTCTCTGGAGTACAGACCTCCAAAGCAGCTGGGCTGTGGATGCTCCAGGTAGCAGTCATTGCATCTCTTGTAAGCTTCTGTGATCCTGCAGGCCGAAGATGCAGTTCCTTCAGACACACTGAATCTGGGGAAAGAATTGACTGTTGCCCTGCAACTGCCAGTAGCAGGAGAACATGGAGATGCTTAATACATGGTAGTCTGTTAGGATAGCATCCAAGCAGTGTAGGAAGGACTGCACTTTCTTACTAGTGCAATAGTCTGACTTCTGCTTTTCAGGAGGTCTCATTGGAGTGGAGGTGTCTCCCAGAACCACAGCTTTTTGTTTGATTGTTTTATTGGAAACTTACTGGCTTACTCTAAAAGAGGGTTTAGGAGTGAATAACACTTTGATGGTATGTATATTCAAGGTAACATTATTGGAATAAATTAGGAACTCAGTTATTACTTGGCAGCGCAGTCATCTTATTGCTATCTGTTAAGAATATTTTAGGATCATTTTATGAGGATATTTCTGAGGTTTGTTAAAATGCCAATATCAAGTGGTTAAGGTTTAATTCAATTTAAAAATCTGCCAAGACATTCTGCAGCTGAGTGGCTCCACTTGCATTAGCTAGTATTACTTGGATTTTAAAGTTTGAATTCTGTGAAGAA